CGATTAATTAGTGAGGGGTTGAACCTGGACAGCCACTGCCGTCTTGTCCCCGTTCTACGTATTAAGTTTCAAAAAGGATTGTAAACTTGGACAGTAAATTATTAAATACATATCTATTATGTCCAAGTACTGGTTTCAAAATTCGTTTTGTCCCAGTACTACTTCCTTTACCTTACTTGATGGAAAAGGATACAGAATAATTCGCCCGAATGAGGAAGAGCAACCCTCGTGGAATGGTAGAAACACGGTGCTGGACATCGTGATTTCCAATTCACGCTGGCGATGCGGGTTTAAAAGCGAGCCAAGGGATGCATATTGATATCGGGCCGATGAAAAGGCGAGCCTCGCATTCTGTGATTCGAAACACGAGGCAAAGAGCGATCCAATCCTAGTCTCGACATATCGGCAAATCGGCTACCGAAAACGTACAACGAAAAATAGTTGAAATCGCGAAAACTTCGATAAATTCTCCCGGTGCCGTCCGAGTATCGGATGTTCCGAGATAGAAACGAGCTATCTCAGTGCGCGATATCAAATATTGCAACCGGTCGAATCGCGGGGAATCTACTATCGCTAAGCGTTGTTGGGTGGCACGTTGCCATGGAAGGAGCTCAAACAGAGGGTGAGTCTCGAGGGCGCAGTTTCGAGGGTCTGTCCAACCTGGATCGCTGCATACGCGAATATTTGCGAGCGATCGATCGACTCGAGCTTATTTCTAGCCGAGTCCCGGGGCGAAAGACGATGAGAGAGAAAGGTGGTTTTCGCGGTTAGATAGAAACTGGCTCGGCTTTTATTCCGTATCGCAGTAAAACGCGAGAAAGCCGGCTCGGCTCGGCTCGGCTCGGCACGGCTCGGCCGCGGGCTTTTCACGCTGGGAAATCCGAAAGCGCGATTCGTCTCGCGATGAAAGGAATACGCGTTGTAAACTCGCATGCACCGTGACCATTGTTGCTTCTAATAAAGCGTGCGCCTTTTATGCCAAGGGAAATAAATAAACGCGGTACGTGGACGTCGGAAAGGCGAGCTCTGGAAGCCCTTTTACGGGCTGAACACGATGAAAGGTTACGCCAGACGTTAAAAAGGCCCAGCGCGCGCGCGCGCGTTTCGCGAAACACGTAACAATATGCAACGCAATTCGCAGTGGATGCTAACGACGGGCCGCGTAAGTCACAAATTACCTCTCCCCACAGTGTTTTTCGGCGTTAACCCTTGCCAAACAGAGAGCACAGGTCCAAAATACGAGGGGGTGCCGCCGCCGCCGCGTTATGGTTGCTCGTTTCGGAGCACCGGCACTTACCGAACGAACCGAGGGGAAACGCGCACCGGCTATTTTGCTAGTCATTCCTTTTTTCACCCGGTCGACTCTCGAAACGGTGTGTAATTTGAAGGTCGCACACGACCGGCTATTATGCACGAACCACAGGGTGGTCTAACGAACGCCCAATGCTTTCGGAAGCTGATTTTCGGTACGTAAATTACGAGCTCGATGATCGTTACAGATGCGTGACGATCTATTAAAAAAAAAAAAAAAAAAAAAAATGAAGCCGAGATCGACGTATAAAAACAATGTACCGTATAATACTTTCGATATTATGCAAATTTTTCGACAATTCCCTCGGTATCCATCTTCTCCACACGCTACGCACGACCCGAGCGCGTATAATCGCCGGTTATCACCGCGTAACCACGTCGTTTAATCAATTCGAGATCCATCAATTCGCCAAGGGTATTGTGAATCACGAAAATTGGAGCCGTGGTCCAACGCGGCGCGAAATTTGTGATACTCGATTAAAAACGGTGATCAAAATGCATTACCCGTCCCGGCGGGCAGCTGAAAGCCTCGCCAGCGATCGTAAATCATCGGACTTCTTTCCGAGGCCAAGCTTATTGCGTCCTATCCTCCAGACTGGAATATCCTTCATCGATCGACCTACCGCAACGCCCGCAGGGCCGATTAAACGCGAAACCTTCGACGGGTTCAACCCCTTCGACGTGCATACGTGATTGGATACAGTCAAATACAGTGACATCCAGATTCCAGTGTAATAACGAGTTACTCGAGCCCAGGGTGTAAATACACCAAGTCCACCCCCACGGGAGGGATGGTATTGATTTTCCAAGAGTATTTAGGGTAGGACGACAGTGTCACGGCGAAGGATTCCGAGATGAGTAATGGAAGTGAGCAGACGGTAAAGAAAATATAAATATAGATGTCTAGCTCGTATCTGGCATTTTTCAAGATTATGTGAACAGTTAAAGGATGATGGATTGCAAGAATAGCAAGACTATAGTCTTCTGTGTTTTATCATACCAGGTGATGAAATGCTTCGCAGTTTTATATAGGAATTTCTTTTATCGCGAATTATTTATAGAATTCAAGTTTTCTTGTAAACGCATAAAGTTCACGGTGTATTCTAACTGTTGTCCATTCAAAATACAATACAACCTGTCTGAAATTTATATATATTCCTTCTGACTCTAAAGAATCTCCCGCTGTTCTCTAGTAAACTTAAAGTAAGAAGCTCTCGGAGCTCTATCGCGTGCCGTCCGCTTTAAGGAAACCCGCATTAGCTCCTGCTCTAGCCGGGGTTAGTGTCTCAAACTTTCGCCGGTCACGGTTGTGGAACGTGAGCAGTTCGTGAAACGCGTTCGACGTGCGAATGAAAAATTAGTTTTGTCACTCACCTTAATGTGATAGGAGTTGAGCTTGGTCCGGGGCAGGCTGTTGAACGCGCTGAAGTCCAGCCGACGTGAGAAGATCCCGTTTGCACCGCAGCTTTGCCTACAAAATACCGTAAAAATCGTCTGATTAATATAAAATAATTGCGTGATTTTGTTAATCGATACTTCATATCAGTCTCATATTTCGTCCAACACATTGACCGTGTGAATTCTTGTAGTCGGACATATCGAAATTGAATAAACATTTTCATCTCACACGACGATTCTTATTTTACGTGTACCGGTATCTCAAAAAGAATCCACGGAAAAAAAATAGCGCAATTATACGAGAGCAAGGCCTGTCGACCCCACGGGTCGAGGATGATCCCTTTAAAATCCAGGCATGGAAAAAAAAATCGGGGTTCCTGCGCGGTTTCTCTCGTCGTACATAATAATTCCGTCCTGCCTACGTTTGATGACTCGTGTGTGTCGCGAGGGTCGCTTTTTGAACTCGTACGTTTATCCTGCCGAGCCGATGAAAACGAGCTCGGGAGGACACCCGTGCACTCGTCGAGGGTTTCGCGTGCGTACGCACGGTGAAAAACGACGCTCGACGTTGCGGAATATAAACCCAGCCGGGTGGAAACAAATTTTACTCCAACGTCGATCGCAACTTCGAAACTCGAAATTGCTGGACCAGATAATTCCCACGACTGGTACGACTCTGTACGCGAGCGAAATACGCAGCGAAAAGAACCTATCTGCCGTTTCGCGCACGGCTGACCCTGATGTCTGATTCTACTTCCAAGTCTGCGACTCACCAACAGACAATCCTCCGTGTGTATCGGGGTTCCAGCAAATTCGACAACGAAACGGATACTGCCCAAGTTTCGACGGTTTCAATACGGAAGTTTACCAAGTTCCCAGACGCGATTCCCAATGTGAATCACCTTCGAATTACCAATTCCAACTTGATTCGACGTTATCTGAACTGCTTATCGTACATATCCTTTGCACAGTTCTGTTCCCAATCACAAAACATTGAACATGGTCTCAAGAATTTTATTGAAAACACATCAAAATTCTTAACCCTTTTAGTAGCGAACGACGATATATCGTCGTTCAAATTTTCAACAAATAATGAAACACAATTCGTAACGTTTTAATTCTCCCTTTATTTCCGAATATGCTGCTTTTTATATTTTGTAAATATCACTTCTACTTTCGTTTTTACGAGCATTTTCGCAAACCTCTGCAAATTCGCCGATTCGGCCCGGTATTCTTCGCTTATTGTTAGCTACGTTCTTTTCGCCGGTACTAAAAGGGTTAATTACCCGTCGTGTCAATTGGAGGATGAATCCGAACAGAATCGAAAGTAAAATCGCGACCAGCAATCTTTTTGCATAGATGCAATAAAAAGGAACGGCGATGACCGTGAAGGTCGAATCGGTAGAAGGAAGTTACGTCAGAGAGTAGAGTATCGAGGAGATGCTAGCGAACAAAGCAGACGCGACAGAAAAGGAAGGCGAAGCCAGAGAGCAATGGGTGGCATTGTGGGGGCTGACCTCAACCTTGGCCTCCACTAGAGCGAATCCTCCTCCTACTGCTCTATCGCCGTAAATTTTGGCGGTGTCACCGAGAAAGATTCGGGAGAAGAAAAAAAAAAACCACGGTGGCATTATGCAACGCGATGCATTCTCTCTCTACCTGCTCCGTGTCACGTACGTTGACCGAATTCGCGGAACACGCGAGCGGAAGCAAAACATACTCTGATGCAACAGAAAGTCTAATTACATTTGTATCTTCATTTGTTTCCCGACTCTAGAATTATGACTGATAAAACATTCAATCGCGACGTAAATTAAAGAAATGTTTTCCAACATTGAAAGCATGGGTAATTGAATTTCCTTTATGAACGCGTGAAATTCCCGATAAAAATTGGCGGATCAATTGAATGTCTGAGTGAAATTGCGAGCAGAGAGGACAAAAATTGACAAAGGTTTCCGAGAGGCAATCGGACTGAACTTTTCGACTGGCGCTTTTGTACGTTACAAGGCCTTGTTTACGAGACGGATGATTGAGGAGTAATTTCGAATCATCATTAACTCAACAAGGTAACCCGAGCGATTCGAATTGGCCGGTCCGAAAAAGGCGGATCCGCGAGGTCTCGCTTGTGCATTTGCATGCGGGTAACGAGAAGAAGCCGCGTATAATCGCTCGCGAAAACCGATATTTACGTTCGTATTGCGAAAGAGCGAAGGCATCGTCGACGTACAAATACGGGCCTCTCCGTTGCGTCGTTAATTTACATGATGCGAGGAGAGCCGACCGGTTATTTTCAATCATTGCCACTTACGCGTTGCTTTTGCCTCCCGCGGATCGATGACTAACGCAGCCAGGGTTGCGTAATCGTTCGCGAGGAACGAGAATCAATAGAGTCATTATGCATCCTTCGGTCGCGTGGCCGTTTCCCATGAAACAACTGCACCGGTGCGCTTCTCGTGATCTCGAAAACGAGAGACGAGCACGAGACAACGTGGCTCGTCGCGTCGTTTCGATGACTACGAGAGAGACCGTGTCTCTCCCCGTCGACGGTCGCGCCACGTTACTTTCTCTTTTAATCGCCGCTCGTGAAGCATAATTCATGCAAAAGGAGAACCGGAAGGGTCCTAAAAAACTACTCGGCTCCCATTAAAAGCCAGCCACGGTGTACGTGATGATCGTTAAAAAGAGGACCGTTTCGTTCAATTTATTCCAGCCCGGAACCGGTTCTCTCCGGACCGGTATCGCGAAAACACAGAAGCGGACCCGTGTTCCTCTGGCAACCAGAAAATTATTATCTAACCTTGACGCGTCAGTCACTTTCGAATTAAGGAGACCCGGTCCAAAGCAAACTGGCTTATCAGAGATTATGCACTGCGTCTTTCGTCACCGAGCAAAAAACTACTGACAAATTATTGTTTTCAGTTAATTTTTTCAAAATCACAATGATCAATCGTTGAAATGTATCGAGCTTGACACAAATCCCCGCGTCGAGTCATAACGAGAGGTACTGTAGTCGATAGAAATTGAAACTTCAGATCACTGATTATAAAAATTGCACATTGCTAATTCTATAAATAGTGCGAGTGAACGGGACGTTGTTTTTTCATTAAACTCGTGTGAAAAATGTTTGACCGACACCATCTCTGCAACGATCTCGTAACGCGAGCCGCGTTACGCGGCTGTTCGCGAGTGAATCAGTTTTCGCAACTCGAAACCGAGCGATACCGTCCGCCACGGATCGTACCCGCGGTTGTATTTCTAGGAAGGCGTTTCGCAATCAACGATACGCTTCTAAATAGCCGGTGCATGAATGACGACGGGTGTAAGAACCCGCGCCACGTGACTAAAAACATTGCGTGCAGCATGGAAGGTTCATATACCTATCGTTAGCAATTCATCGGTTCCTCGAATCGCGTTCACCCTTCCACGTAGCCTCGGTTTTCCCGCCGGAGGCGACGAACGCTCGAGGAAAATAGAACGTCTGAATGACATGTGCTAAGTAATCGTAAGATGAGTAAGCGAGCCTCGATTCACGTGTCTTCGAGAATCGGAGTTAAACCTGCTTGGAAACTCTCAAGATCGTTAAGCTTACGTAACGTCGCTTCGTTCTGCTATAAGCATATCCCATTACTATTGTTTCATACGTCATCATACAAAATTAATCGGTTAGATATATTTCCATGCCATTGCAAATGAACGTTTACGATGGGATTGAAAGAAACTAAGGTAAACGCGGTAGTACCT